CGTGTAAGTTCTTTATATATTTTGGATGTTAACCCCTGTCAGATATGTCATTTAAAAATATATTCTCCCATACTATAGGATGCCTTTTTGTTCTATTGATGGTGTCCTTTGCTGTACAGAAACTTTTTAGTTTGATGTAGTCCCATGAGTTCATTTTTTATTTTGTTTCCCTTGCTCGAGGAGATGCATTCAGGAAGAAGATGCTCATGCTTATATTCAGGAGATGTTTGCCTATGTTGTCTTCTAAGAGTTTTATGGTTTCATGACTTACATTCAAGTCTTTAATTCATTTTGAGTTTACTTCTGTGTATGGGATTAAACAATAATCCAGTTTAATTCTCTTGCATGTAGCTGTCCAGTTTTGCCAACACCAGCTGTTGAAAAGGCTGTCATTTCCCCACTGTATATCCATGACTCCTTTATTATATATTAATTGACCATATATGGTTGGGTTTATATCAGTGCTCTCTAGTCTGTTCCATTGGTCTATGAGTCTGCTCTTGTGCCAGTACCAAATTGTCTTGACTACTGTGGCTTTGTAGTAGAGTTTGAAGTTGGGGAGCATAATGCCCTCAGCTTTATTCTTCCTTCTCAGGATTGCTTTGCCTATTCGAGGTCTTTTGTGGTTCCATATTAATTTTAGAACAATTTTCTCTAGTTCGTTGAAGAATGCTATTGGTATTTTGATAGGGATTGCATTGAATCTGTAGATTGCTTTAGTCAGGATGGCCATTTTGACAATATTAATTCTTCCTATCCATGAGCATGGGATGTATTTCCATTTATTGGTATCTTCTTTAATTTCTCTTAAGAGTGTCTTGTAGTTTTCAGGGTATAGGTCTTTCACTTTCTTGGTTAGGTTTATTTCTAGGTATTTTATTATTTTTGGTGCAACTGTGAATGGAATTGTTTTTATGATTTTTCTCTCTGCTAGTTCATTGTTAGGGTATAGGAATGCCACAGATTTCTTTGTATTAATTTTGTATCCTGCTTCCTGCTACTTTGCTGAATTCAGATATTAGATCTAGTAGTTTTGGAGTGGATTCCTTAGGGTTTTTATGTACAATATCATGTCTTCTGCAAACAGGGACAGTTTAACTTCTTCCTTGCCAATTTGGATGCCTTTTATTTCTTTGTGTTGTCTGATTGCTGTGGCTAGGACCTCCAGTAGTATGTTGAATAGAAGTGAGGAAAGTGGGCATCCTTGTCTTCTTCCCAATCTTAAAGGAAAAGCTTTCAGCTTCTCACACTTAAGTATGATGTTGGCTGTGGGTTTGTCATATATGGCCTTTATTATGTTGAGGTACTTGACGTCTATGCCCATTTTGTTGAGAGTTTTTATCATGAATGGATGTTGATGGTTATGCCCAACTTTATTTCCACAATCACAGTCACTCACTAGAATCCCATCCAGAGCGAGTCTGCATGCAGCAAGCCGGTCTCTGCCTCTGGGCCTTTCTACCTGCACAGTTGTCCCAGTTTCTGTCCTCGGCACCAGCAGCACTCTAGCCTCTGCTCTGGTCTCCTCAAAGTCCCTCAGCCAGCTAGCCAGGGTTGGGGAGCAGGTGGCCTTTCCCATGTCTCCTGCTTAGGCTCACTTGAGTCAATAATGATGCATTGCCCACACATGTGTAGTGAGCTAGCCAACCAGGGCCAGGTGAGAATTCTGGCCACAGGAACATTCACTTTATCCACAGCTAATATTCAAGAATGTGGTATACATGTTTTGTAAGACAAATGCTCTTCCAAATACTGAACACTAGATTTAGACAAACTTACTTAGCAGCCCTGCAGCAAGCAGACCATCTTGTCCCTCCTGGACAAGATGGGTGCCTTCCCTGATGCAGGCAGGCAGAACACGCTTCTGGCAGACAGCTTGCTCCTGAGAAAGAGGGGAGGAAGAGGCTAGGTGGCATTTATCAGTTTCTTCTTCTGAAAGTCCCCATCATATTAATCACTCTTTCTTTCCTGGGACAAAGTAAAAGGTGGGGATGGGAGGGGGCCAAGAGTTGGCAAGTCTCTCTCCTTCCACAGGTGTGGGGAAGAAGGGGTCTTCCCTCACAATGAAGACTTAAAAATTATTTTTGACAATGAGTCCCTTGTTTCTGCACTGGTTAAATGAACAGGTTAAAAGCCTTTCCCAGGCCCCAAATATGTGAGACAATGCTAACTTGATACTCATAGCTTAAATTTTTGGTTATTTAGGGGATGTGGGAGGCTTCCTTAGGCAGTGCTGTATTTCCCACTTTTTGGCCCCAGTCTTTGTCACTGGGTCTAAAGGCTGGGCCTTCAAAGTCCCTCAGCCAGCTAGCCAGGGTTGGGGAGCAGGTGGCCTTCCCCATGTCTCCTGCTTAGGCTCACTTGAGACAGGGAGAATGTGGAGGGTCACTTAACACCCTCCATGGTCCCCTAATCAACTTGCTTAGGGAAAGTAGGAGTGGGAAAGGGGAGGGCAGGGAATGCTCTGGCCACTTGAGTCACTGGAGAGCCTCTGGGAAATGGGGGTGGGGCAGGGGCCTCAGTCTCCAACCTCAGTCATCCTTGTTCATAGGCGAGCAGTGCCTTTTCCTGTCTTGAGAGCTCTTTGGAATGTGTATCTTGCAGATGGTAAGGAAACTGAGTGTCTTATATGCACATAAATAACATCCTTAATCATCATCAACCAAACACACTATGCCCTCCTTATGATGCTTCAGGAAAGTGACCAGGGCATTCCCATGGCCTAGTAGGGATTTTCCTTGATTCTGTAAAGCCTTTAGTAATATCAAAGCCATATAGTAACACTAAGCTAGTTTTTGCATTTATTCTAGTCTTAGGTTTGAACATTATATTACTTGTTTAAATTTTCATAGATTCCAATGTTCAGAAGAGTTCTGGGGAAGTCACTGAAAGTCATCCTCCTGAGGGTCGCTAGGTAGGGCTGCAACTTGGCTAACAAAGACAAATGGCTTTATATCTGATTCTGAAAGGTCTCTGGGGGAAGATTCCATAATCAACCACAGCAATCACATATCCCTAACATGAGCATGCCCCACTTTAAGACAACCTGACATGTGAAGCCTCTGTGGAAGGATAACTTACTGAGATGCTAATCTGTGCTAAGTTATTTGCAATTTGCCTCCCGTGCCCTGGTCCTCGCTCCTCCTTCCCCACTGAAGGTGGCCAGTTCTATTTTTCTTCTCTGGGAGGTGACAGAATTTCCTTGCACTATGTTCCTATTGCTTTAGTAGACAGAGGTACAGAGAAACAGGGTGCATGACTATGTGCCGCTCCTGAAGTCAGAGTGCATCCGCTCAAGGACTGGTGGAGGCAGGGGTAGAACTTCAGCAGGTAGCTGAGTTCTTAGAAAATGTCTGTATCTTTGACTTCTGTGTGATCATCTGTAAAATAAAAGGTTGATTTAACAATGTTTAGGTACCACCCTCTCTCGATTCTGTGGATTATCAGTCT